TAAAATGAAGTTCTAATTAGTCATAGTTAAAGATATTATTGATTAAAAACATGCTAAATGTAAGGGGTGACACAAAAGTGTCAATTAACAATGGGGGTTTGTAACAGGTAAGCAAAAATCAGCTAAAACAGTAAAAATAAAGAAAGATACTAATATGGAGACAAGATTCTTGGGATGTGATAGGAATACGGAATAGACTAAATTATTGGGTACATGCTTTTGGTAGTAAATTCATTGAATATTTGTGACTAGGTTAGACTATAGTGGGGATAAATTCTCTCTCGAGCAACTTACCCCGAATCAAATGGGTTCCTCTCGGACACTCATTTGCCGCATGAAGAACAACCTCGGCCTTAGGCCACTCACTCTCTCGAGTTGAGTGTGTGGGAATGAGACTAGGGTTTCCTCTCTCAAGCTAAACCTCATTTCGAACCACTCCTGTTATTGCCTCAATTTTAAGGTTAATGCTTTTTCTTTTTATTTTTTAAAAATAAAATTTATGCAGGTTCTTTATGAATATGTTAAGTAAATGGCTGCTTGATAATGAAAACTTTTGGTGCCAATTACATAAACATCACCCTTATTTTAACTAATCACATGGCCCATTGACTTAACAACCAGGTAATCTTCTTGCTCTTTCTTCAGTCTTTTCTTTTTGTTGCATTGTAGAATTGTTATTTGTCTTAGTATTGTTAATCATCTTTTAGATTCAATGTGATTAGTTAAAATAAGGGTGATGTCTATGTAATTGGCACCAAAAGTTTTCATTATCCTGATCTCTTAGTTAAGTCAATTTTAAATGAGTTTATTAAATAGTTTGTTGCTCTGTTGATGGCTGTTTTCTTACAATTTAGAGATGTGAATGTGATTCTAGTTATTGTTACTCTTATTCGACTTCGAAATCCATGTTATATAGTTGTAGTTTTCTACCTTAATCCGTTGTCTTCTGTATTAGATTTTTTACCTATGTTTTTATCAAAAACTGGTTTCCTTAACCTGTCTCATAAGCGCTGATTTGGATAATTATCGATTGTTGTTTTAAAATGAGGTTTTGTTCGTAGTATGAATTTAAGATGATTCTGTCCAAATGGTGAATGTTAAGCAATCTTTAGTTTGTTCATTTGTTAGGACCGGCTGCTAACTCTCTCTGTCATGTTAGCATTAATTCTGCATATTTCCTATCTTGTGTAGAATCAACTCAGCTATATTTTAACTTGTATAGTGTGATTTTATTTTTATTTTTTATTGCTTTTTCCTAATTCTTTATAAAGTTTGTTAGTATGTTATTGCCTCAATTTTAAGGTTAATGCTTTTTATTTTTATTTTTTAAAAATAAAATTTATGCAGGTTCTTTATGAATATGTTAAGTATATGGCTGCTTGTCTTTAGCGTTGTAATGTTGTTCCCTCTCGTGTATGATTGTCGGTTTCCTCCCTTCACTCTGCCCTCTTTGAGTGCATATAATTGGAGATACAATTTGTATATTCTTCCCTATCTAGTTGCCTGGTCTAGAGATGCTATGTCTAATTTGTTGGCTCTTAAATTGCTCACTTATTGTGCTGCTGAAGTCTGTCTCTGTTTTGCCAAAAACTGATTATTATTATTTTTTTAAAAAATTTGTCTATCTTGTTGGAAATCAAATATTGATAGTAACAGGTATAGGTTTTTCTTTCAAGTTTTCTTTAGTTGTATCCCTTTAAAATCTTAGTTGTAGGACAGCTATTAATTTCTATCGCTTGAAGTTTGTTCACTGATGCTAATCTCTTAGAATTAAAATTTAGTTGTGATTAATGGAAACCACTATGTGGTCAGCTAATCTCCTACTTATTTGATCTTTATTAAGGTTAAATATGTAGTTAAGGTTTGTTGTTCATACATGCTTTATTGATTTCACTTGCCTTGTGACCAATTCCAACATGTTAAGGCAGTAGCTCTTTGGTAACAATGAGTTTGTTGTCTAAATTGTGGTGAAAGGACAAAATGTTGAATTGATTATCCTTGAGTTTTGTATCTTAGCTTATGAATTTGTTCGTTTACTAATCTTTTTTTTTTCTTTTTTCCTCATTTTCTTTGCATGAACTCACCCGTTGAGTCCATTCGGACTTTCCATTCCCTCGCATTCTCTTCTTTTCGAGTCAAACCTCCGCCAAAGTTACGAAAGGGAAGCCAATATATTGGGTTGAGACCCCAAAACCAGCAGCAACAGCAGCTCAAAAGAGCTGAAACGGAAGGGTTTTTCCGTTCAAATTGGCTGAAATTTGAACGGCTGAAATGAGGAAGAATTGCAGCAGCTTTGAAGGGCTGAAACTTGCATTTTTCAGACTTGAAAAAGTTCGAAAATGGCGCCAGCAGCAGCAACTAAGAAGCAGCAAATGGACTTAAATTTGTCCAAGTTTTGCTCGCACTTTTATTTTCCTTTTATTGTGATTTTGTGATATTTGCTTTTAACTTCTAACATTTATTTTATTTAACTTAGATGAACCCTTGGAAGTTTTTTTATAACTCTCCTATTTCGTTAGTTGTTTACCTTAAGTATTTAAATTTTCAAAACTCTTGCAAGTTAGGCAACTTAAGCTCTTAGACTAACTTGAGAATTATCATATTCTTTCATAGTTAGTAATTAGCTTTGGATCCATGTTTATGAGTTTGAACTAACTATTTAGTTCAAATTTTTGAATAGGACAAAATTGTTAAGTTTCTTAAAATAAATTAGTTGTCTTTTAATTTAACTTAGGACTTTGCATGAATGACTTGAGGATTATTTATAACCTTTCATAGTCATTAAACAAGGTTCTTTATTCCATATTTGTGAGTTTAAATTAATTGTATAAGTTCAAAATTTGACTATGGATAAATTTTTAAGTTAGGATTATTTTTGAGATTTCACAAGTTTCAAAAGATTTTTTATTTAAGTTTCAAAATAGATATTTTAACCCTTTTTTTTTTCTCTTTCTAAAAAAATAAATAAAATTAGCCAAACTTTTTCAATCCGTCGGTCAACCGCGTGTTAGCGGATTCTCTAAGATGCCTGAACCCTTCCTTAAGAGAATTATTTGAACCCTTACCCGACTCTGGTTTATTAAAGGTTTTACTTCAAAATTACCTTTCAAATGGTTTTCTTAATTTTACCTTAAAAATTAAGTGGCGACTTCCAAATTATAAATTTTTCCAAACTTACCAAAATTGCCAAAAGTTGCGAAAATGGTTTAGAAACCTTAGTTTTCGAAATCGGGTCGTAACAACTCCCACCGGCCATCAATTTAGCAGTCTTAGTTTTATGACCTCTCTCTCGAGCAAGCCGAAAACACAAAGGTGAAATCGTATTTGCAACTACAATTTCATTAAGTTCCACAACAACTACTAAACGAAATCACATCAAAATAACAAATAAACCACCAACAAGCAAGACCCAACAGATAATCTAACCCATATTCACAAAATCACACCCCAAGAATTGGGATTTTAACTAGACATGCTAAAGAGAAAGATATTTATACAAAAATGAGTTTGCAGTCAAATGAGAATGAAGATTTAAGTCTCAAAACAAGTCAAGAGTGAAGAATCCAAAAGACCCAAGCCCAAATTCTTGGAGATGAAACCCATTGAATCTTCAAGTTCTTCAAAACCCTCTTCAAACTTAGAACTCAAAAATAGAAGCAAAGCCTGAAAAAATCACTATTCAAAGCTAAAAATTCCCTTCTAAAATAATAATTCTCAACGAGTGTTTATAGTTTTCAAAAATTTGTGCTGCAGCGGATCACTCGGAGACATTAGTCGAAATCGCCGATCAACTCGGCGATTCACCCTTTGGTGTAGTTCATCGCCGTTTTGCGTTAGCCTTTAGCATCGTCGTGTTTTGGATCATTGGGTGACATAGTACTGCTTCGCGAAACTGCTCGGCGACTGCTCCTTTTCACCGTCGATTTGAACCTTTCCTTCAAGGCTCAGCACACTGAAACAAAAAGCGAGACTAAGATCTTTTGGCGATTCGTCGAATGGGTTCGGCGATCCCCAGATCTTCATTTCTTCATTCTTTTCAGTTGCCTTTGTTCCTTTTTGCTAAGTAGTGTCCATGCTTTCCCTCAAACTCCAAATATCTGAAACGTAAGGGTTTTCATCAGATATTGAGACAAAATATGCATTTGAGGACACTAATTCTATCAAAATATAGCCCTAAATGAGTCAAATTTATGGACTCATCAAGATACACTTCTTTCATTACTCTTAAGTCATGCCGTAGAGTTTAACTTTGTAAATTCCCTCTCATAATCCTTCTTTTATGTCTTCAGGATATAAATACACGAAGGTCTAATGCCAAAAGAATGGAGGGTGACAATGTGAATGAAGAGGCTCCTCAAACTAACCAAGCTCCAATTAATCCTTCGGCTTTGTCGGATATTGAGGTTAGGTCGACTTTTCAAATGTTGGCCCAAACTATGACGACTCAAGCTCAAGCTCTAGCTGTGACGGCTAAGGCCAATATAGATGTTGTGACTCATGTGAATCCTAATGTGAATTCGGCTGCTTCAAGGGTTAGGGATTTTGCAAGAATGAACCTTCCCAAATTTCATGGCTCCAAAGTGGAAGAGGATCCTCAAATGTTTATCGACGAGGTTTATAAAGTACTTGCCTTTATGGGGGTGTCTTCGGAGGAGAAGGCGGAGTTAGCCGCCTACCAACTAAAAGATGTGGCTCAAGTTTGGTATGATCAGTGGAAGAGTGAGAGACCCGTAGGAGTGGTCCCAGTAGAATAGGAATCATTTAAAGCAACGTTTCTTGATAGATTCTTTCCCCTAGAGTTTAGGGAAGCAAAGATGCAAGAGTTCATTAACCTTCGTCAAGGAGGTATGAGTGTGAAAGAGTATGCTTTAAATTTCACCCAATTATCCAAGTATGCTCCAACTATAGTGGCAGATTCAAGGGCCAAGATGAATAAATTTGTGATGGGAGTGTCCGACATGGTAGTTAAAAAATGCCTTGTGGCAATGCTTATCCCGAATATGGATATTTCACGTCTCATGGTGCATGCCCACCAAATGGAAGAAGAGAAACTCAAGGAAAATAATAGAGAGGTGAAAAGAGCTAGAATAAGTGATGGGAATTTCTCCAATGCTAGGTCCGATGGACAAGATCGACAAAGTTCAAACAAAGGTTCTCAAACCAAGGTTCCTCAAATGTTTCCCCAAGGGTCAACAAGGATATGGTGTCTAACGCTAAACCTCAAGGAGGTAATAGTGGTGGCTCTTATGTGAATAGGCCAAATTGTGCAAAATGTGGGAAGAATCATGATGGTAAGTGCCTACCCGACACTGTCATTTTTTTGTTGTTGTGGTAAGAGTGGTCATCAATTGAGGAGTTGCCCAATACTTTCGTCCAAGGGGAAAGAAGGCAATCAAGCTCCTCCTAGAGGTTTAAACTCCAATGTTCCAAATAAAAGTCGATTTTATACTCTTCGATCCCGAGGGGACTAAGAGACCTCCCCGGATGTGGTGATCGGTATGTTAAAAATCTTTCTTATTGATGTGTATGCTTTATTAGATCCCGGTGCTACCCTGTCTTTTGTCACACCTTATGTGGATATGAAGTTTGATATTGTCACGACCCGGGAGCACCCCCAAGTCGTAACAAGGCGTACTCGACCCCGAAGGGGGTCTTATACAAGCCACATAGTCATTCATTGCATTCAATAATGAAAATAGTGCGGAATAATAAAAAAACTTATTTACATCCACACATTTAAACTTCTTAAAACAACTTTAAAAACACACAGCGGAAGTCTAAGTCTCACATGGCCATCTTAGACACAGTCGCAAAACATAAGTAGGGACACGGCCCTTTACAATCAAAACAAAACTAAAAGTGTCTATTACATGAACAAAAGAACTTAAAAGTCTTGTCCTCGACATATGAGGACATACCACAAGATCTTGGAAGAACTTCAAGTTCCAAGCTTACTATAGAACCCGCTCACTTTCCGGAACCTACACTAGTAGAAAATAGAGAAATATGGAATTAGCACAATTAAGTACTAAGTATGATGACCATGCAAAACATGCTTTAAAAAGGGACATTTTAGTTAGAAACCATGCATTATGCCACCTTTTTGAAATATCATGAACAATAGCATAAAAGACATACAAGACAAGCATAACATCAAGTAAGTCATAATATCACCTTTAAACAATATCAACACGAAAACCTTTACCTTGGACCTTCACCTCAAGAAACCCTTATGCTATACCTCGTGCAATGTATCGATGGCGTCCCATACCACCATCCATACTAAGGCACCACATTTAGGTCACTTAAAGTAACTTATCATTCCTTTCTTTCACCTTTGCACAATATTCATACATAAGAGGTATATCATTAATTAAGACATGACAAGGGAAAATAACTCGTAATATAACCCAAGTATAACATGCATAACATATTAAGCATTTAAGAGCCAACATTCTTTAAGAAACCATTTAGGGCACATTTATTTCACATACATTAGGATTTAGAGAAACTCACTATGACCCTCTCCAAGCCTACTCGTGCAATGTATAGGTAGCATCCCATACTACTACCTACACTTTGTAGAACCTGTCAAGAAACCATAATGAAATCTCACATGAAGGGAAGTAAGCATTTAACCGACATAGACCATGAGAGCTTGTCATGGAATCCGGTGTCATGAGTCCCCACACCGAAAAGAGGTGGTCTACTTGCCTAAGGAAGACCGGTATATATAGCTTAATGGATCCACTAGCTTCCTATGCGGGCACATAGTTTATGGGATAAGGTAGACGATCATTGAAACTCATGCCTAACTGTCGGGGGAGTTTCCATCTAACCAAATCCGCTCGGTGCTTAGCCTACATTCCCATAGAATAGTTCATTACTTTGACATCATCACACATGAAAGGGTGCCATAAGCCTACCGATTCAAGGTACATTATTTAACACATGAAAGGGTGCCATAAGCCTACCGATTCAAGGTACATTATTTAACACATGAAAGGGTGCCATAAGCCTACCGATTCAAGGTACATTATTTAACACATGAAAGGGTGCCATAAGCCTACCGATTCAAGGTACATTATTTAACACATGAAAGGGTGCCATAAGCCTACCGATTCAAGGTACATTATTTAACACATGAAAGGGTGCCATAAGCCTACCGATTCAAGGTACATTATTTAACACATGAAAGGGTGCCATAAGCCTACCGATTCAAGGTACATTATTTAACACATGAAAGGGTGCCATAAGCCTACCGATTCAAGGTACATTATTTAACACATGAAAGGGTGCCATAAGCCTACCGATTCAAGGTACATTATTTAACACATGAAAGGGTGCCATAAGCCTACCGATTCAAGGTACATTATTTAACACATGAAAGGGTGCCATAAGCCTACCGATTCAAGGTACATTATTTAACACATGAAAGGGTGCCATAAGCCTACCGATTCAAGGTACATTATTTAACACATGAAAGGGTGCCATAAGCCTACCGATCCAAGGATTCAACAATCAACAATATAATCATTTATACAAGAAAATGATGCATAAGCCCTACCAATTCAAGGTATACTTTATATTGAAGAATCCTTCATATTATATCATCAACATTCATGAGTGTCATCAACACATCTATGGAATTTCCATACATCTCATAACTCAAGCTTTAAAGCATCGATTCATCAATTCTCCATAGTTGGACATTTTGTCAAACACCTTGAAGGCATGTAATGGAATCAAAGAGCATGGAAAATAGGGTAGTAATTATGCAACCAAATCAGTGAACAACCTACAACAACACCTTTACATTCATAACATGATCACATTATCTTCATTGAACTCTCATTCATACAATGTCATGATAACACTTCAATTTCTCATACTTTGCCTTTAAGGCCATAAGCCTCTCATACCAATACACCAACAATACACCATAAACTAAGCATGAGTAATGACATACTTCAACAATCTAAAGACATTTAAACAAGTTCGATTCATATACATTCATTATCAAGCAACCCACTTTATAAAGGCATAAACTAGGAATAGAGAGAAATCATGGGTTCATGGAGTATTTTCATCATAAATCATCATTTAAACACTAATACAATCATAATAAGTCATTAATAACCATTTGAAAACGTTTGAAGAAGGAACCCATGAGTTAGAATAAAAACCCTAGGTTTTGAAGAACTTGGAAGCTTTGAAATCATGTTTTGAAGGGACTCTATGGGTGAAAGCTACCCATAGATGAAAAGCCACCATACCTTTGCTATGATCTCTCAAGAAATTTGATGAAGAAAAACTTGAATCCAAAGCCTAGCTCCCACTTCTTCTTCTTCTTGAGTTGGAGAGAATATTTGAGAAGTGAGGGAAATGTTTTAGAGAAGTGAATTGAACTAATGGTACCTAGGAAATAATATAAGGCTCCTCGAAGACGTTATATTATTGGAGCGTCCCTTCCTTCAACGTGATACGTTAAATTATTATTAGAGCATCACCTTCTTGAATGTGACACACGTTAAATTAGTATTAGAGCGTCACCTTCATGAATGTGACACGTTATATTGGGTAGTAATTTCCCTAAAAGTGACACGTTATTATTAATTTGGGGCATTACCTCCCCTAGACATAATGTTATATTATATTGGGATGTCACCCCCCCTAAAAAGTGACATGCTGGGAAGTCACCTCCCTAAAAAGTGACACGTCATATTATGTTATTGAATCATCACCTCGTTTAAATTGACACCTAACTTTGGATCACCACTTCCTTCAAGAGCAATACACTTCAAAATTGGATCGTCATCTCCTTCAGTATGGCATGTTAAACCAGGTTTGCACAAATTATATTTGTATTTATATTACATTTTCTACTGACAATTTTCTCCAGATTTTGCAACACACGAAGTGGACTACGTCAAAATAGGACGTAGCACAACGTGGAATTTTTCTTAGCATCGAACTGGGACATAGTCAAAAGAGGTGTCACGACCCGAGAGCACCCCCTAGTCGTAACCGGCGTACTCGACCTCGAAGAGGTCTAATACAAGCCTCTTAGCATTCATTCATCGCATAGACACTAAAAACCATAAGGAATTAAAAACTTTCTTTACAAAGAAGACATTTAATTAATAAAAAAGCAAGTGGAAGACTTTCTAGACTTTATACATGATGTCTCAAAACCATCTAATACTTTAGAGTACAAAATTCGGGACTAATCCCGTACACAACTTAAACAATACTAAAAAGACATAAAAGAACATATTGGGTATTGTCCTCGAATCTATGAGGACTCACCAAGTCTTCATCTTCAACACTTAGAAACCTATCAAATAGCCATGACATGTCATCATATCCAAATCCCTACACTTTAGTCCAAAAAGGGAAAGAAAGGGGTTAGCACAATTAAGTACTAAGTATGGAGACCATGCAAAAACATGCCAAAAAGGACATTTTCAAGGAAGTAAATGCTTTCACATCATTTGATAAAACCTTTCCTTTACAAATATAAGAGACATAATACAAGTCAACATTAACATACAAGACCATAGCCAAACCATACATATACTCAACATATGTCCATATACAATCCATGCTTAACTTTAAAAGAACACATGTCATTTCATTACCATAGGACCTCTACCTAATATAACCTTAAGACACACTTGAGTGAGACAAGAAGGGACCGCCCATACAACCTCTTCAAGCACACTTAAGTGTTCCCCAAGATTACCTTAGATAAGGACATTTCCTTTACAACATAACATCAATAGACCAACATTCTTTAAGAAACCATTTTGGAGACATTCAAGCACATAAGGGGACTTTCACATAATAGTCGTTAGACTTAGGGAACTCACTTTAGTATCTTCAAAGCCTACTCGTGCCATGTGTAGATAGCATCCCATACTACTACCTACACGTTGTAGAACCTATCCAATAACTAGAGTGCACATCCCACATGATGGAAATAGGCATTAACCGACATAGACCATGCAAGCTAGACATGGAATCCGGTGTCATAAAACCCTACACCGTGGAAGGTGTTCTACTTGCCAAGGGTAGAACTAGGACACATCCCATGTAGGCACATGGTTTAGGGGATGTCCAAGGAAGTTCATTGTGCCTAATCTCATACTCAACTAGGCCACCT